GGTGGATCTGTGAGTAAGTTCGAGGCCAGCCTGGTCTACAAGAGCTAGTGCCTGGACAGGCTCCAAAGCTACAAAGAAACCCTGTCTCGAAAAACCAAAAAAAAAAAAAAGCAAAAATAAAGAAACAGTGTGAAAAATAATAATGTAAAAAATGTAAAAATAAAAGTAAAATTATTGTAAAATGTCTACTAGATAAGGAAGAGTTATAGGCGGAGGATTTGTAAACACCACAAAACTATTTGTAATTACTCAAGGAAATATTTCTCACTTTACTAGGGAAAGAAAAATTGCACACGAAGGCTGGATGGTACTAAGCAAACCAGAAAACAATTAGAGCATTATCATAAGCATTGTCTTATTGTAATAATCAAGAGGTTTAGCTTGCTAAATCAAATAATGCTATTTTAATAATAAAAAAATGATTATTCTAAGTGAATTTATGAGATTACATAAGATTTACATAAATCAAAGTATTTTGATTTCTCTAGGAGGTAACAAAAAGAATGAAAAAGTATAGTTTGATCAGGTATGTAATTTTGCAAAATAAAAACCATGATCAAATATAGAAAAATATGACCAGTATCAGTCAAAAACCAATTAGTACTTTTCCAAGATTCTCACAAGATATAGCTTGGTGTGGGGAGCCATAACTGCAATCCCAGAATTGGGGATGTGGAGGAAGGAGGATCAGAAGTTAGGGATCATCCTCAGCCAGTGAATTCAAAACCAGCCTGGGGTGCAAAACACTTTGAAAAAAAAAAAGCAAAACAAACAAAAGATTCTCACCAGGTACCTAAATTCTTCAGGATTACATTATGAGTACATTAAAACACAATAAAGTACAATACAGCAAAATTAAAATCTAATATACTGACAATTGTGTAACCCTGTATCAACCATGATTTCATTCAATTTCTCAAATTCCTACAACTTTCAAATGAATAACAACCAAGAACAACAACAGTTTCCACTTAATGACGGCATGATAGACAGTTCTGCATCCTTGACAGGCCTGTTTGAAAAACTGTGTTACATGTATATGTCTATTTGTATTGTATGTCTTCAGCATTAAATGGGGGGTACTCACAAAAACAGTGCTTCTTCCCAAAGAAATTATAACAAGTGATTTGGTTATTTTTACTTGCAATTTAATTTTGAAATATTCTTATTTGTGGATTTGTTTAAAACAATTTAGCCATTCTATTCAGTTGGTATCTCTGCTCTCTTCCTGATTTTAGAATAGGTGAAACAGTGACCTGATTCTTCAAATGTTATTATCTCCAGAAAAGATTAATCAGAAGCTGAACAAACTACACATGATGGGCCAAATGCTCAAGTTCACGATTTTTAGTGGGCTGTGCTCTTGTTTCGTGACACATGGTCTTCACAACCCTTCCATCACCCCTACAGCTGTTTCTCCATGAACTAAATTCATCAAATGTAAAACCAAAGGAAAAATATTTCAGTATTTTTTTTTAGGCTTGATTTTCAGAAGGGTAAAATTAAGCTATACCTTTCAAATACATTATTTGAAATATTAAAATATTGAAAAGAAAAAATATTTTATTTTCTTTTTAGGATTCTTGGATTAAAATTAAAAACAGCTAGTTACTTAGTAATTTTTCTAAATGTATAAAATAACAGATGCTTAATTTTATAGTATCTCAAAGCTTTAACAAGAACATAAACCACTGAATTTATAAATCTACCATTTTCTACCATGTAAGATATTCCTTACAGAGCCAGTTTGTAAAAAATTCCATCAAAAGTTCAACAATATATAGACACTGTCACAAGGAAAACACACAAAGCCAGCCAGAAAGCAAGTAAATAAGCTAAGTAAAAAGGCCTTTACGATATAGGAGATTTAAACTAAATCAAAGCCCAATTCCTTCTTTTGTTTTTATAGCTACTTTTAAAAAAAATCCCTTTGATTTTATGAGGCTACAATTGAATATTAGCCCAAATGTCACATAAAACTCTGAATACTAAAAGAATTATACAATTAGAGATGAAAAGGATCTCAAACTCATTTATCTACTAGTAAGGAGAAAAGTCTATTAGTTGAGTGACTTGCATGGTCACTTTGAAATTCATGATTTGCTATGGCTGCTTAGGGGATTCATACTTTTGTTTTGTGTGTGTTGTGTATGTCCAATGAGGAGCTTTCCTACAAGATTCTCCTTCCCTGAGATGCCATGTTTTCTTCATGGGGGAAAACAAGAATCCCAAAGTAACTCAATGGCTATAGTTCAAAAGGAACAGCTAACTTAGGAAGACTGCTTTATACTGCCTTTTATAGTGCCTGGTCCCATAAGTAGGAATGGCATTGAGTGCAGAGATTTTTGATCTTTTCCTTGTCTTCCTAACCTGTAAACTGTTCTTTCACGTATTGATTCTACTGGTCCACTCTGAACAGTTTCATCTACTTTCAATTAGATAGAGAAGTTGAGTGGAAAACATAGCATGCATCTCTTGTTAATATTCATTTCCTGTATTTTGGTCATCTAGAGAGCTTGGGTTACCTAAATTTATTTAAGAATAAAATTGTTACTCTCCAGGTGGAAGAGGTAAAAACTAAAACAATAGTCAATGTGGGGTAAATCTAATCTCTTCAGTTTTAGGACTATAACTGAGGACAGTCACTGCAGTTGGGAGAAAAGGAAAGTAAAACAGTAAGGTTATATAAAAAACTTCATCCAAGAAATGTTAGAGATAGATGTTTCTTTTCCAAGTAAAGTAGTTTGATAATTTAGGAAAATCTATTTGGGGGGGGGGGGGGGAGCTTAAGCTTCGCTAACCAAGGGAGGGCTTACTTCAGAGAAACCCTGATCTGAACAAACAACTTCTTTAACTCTGGTCATTCTAATGTCCAGCAGACACGTACAGGAACCTTGAATCTCCTCTGTGCAACAGAGGTTCCAGAAAAGATGCTAATTCCAGAAGAGCTCTGGGAAACCTGCAGCAGGAACCAAGAGCTCTGTGGGCCCACATCAGCTTTGTGGAGGGTGGAGGGGGTGAAGTGGGGAAGTGGGGGTGGGCCTGCAGCGACAGGAAACTGTAATGGCTTACTATGTGCAAAAACCTCAAAGGGGAAGGTCAGACAAGGATAATAGGCCAATTTAATTCTGAACGCACAAGGTGCAAGAAATTTTATTATGGTCTGCCACTGAAATCACACAAGATCCAATAGCATCTAACTGCAACTGCTCATCAAGGGAAACAAGAGGTGTAATTGTAACCGCGGTATAATCACTGTGAGCGCGCCTAGACTGCTGCTGCCTACAGCTCCCAGCAGAGAAATATTAAGAGCCTGGAAAATCCAATACAGAGAAAAAGAGATCCTACATGGCGTAGCAAAACAAAAGCCAAAGCGTGTGTGTGTGTGTGTGTGTGTGTGTGTGTATGTGTGCGCGCGCGCACCCGCGTATGTGCAAATGATAAAGCTGTTTGCTGTTTAGCACTGTGTGTGTGTGTGTACGTATGTGTGTGCAGTGATAAGACTGTTAGCAGTGTGTGTGTGTGTGTGTGTGTGTGTGTACAGTGATAAAGCTGTTTAGCCGTGTGTGTGTGTGTGTGTGTGTGTGTGTGTGTGTGTGTATGCAATGATAAAGCTGTTTAGCCCACCGGAAGGACAGAGGCTTAGAAAACTCTGGTTTTAACATATACTGGATCTCCTCTAAGAACTCCCTTCTTGAAGCTTCTCCCACTCTCCTTTGTTTAAAACACTTAGCCTCAATGTTACAAAGATTGGCAGTACCAGACTCTCTGGAATGCGAACCCAACACACCCGAGTCTAGAGGCAAAACACCGCGCCCATGACTCTAGGCGGGTCTGGAAAGCTCCTGCGTGGCCCAAGGGCTCCCGGGAAGAGCACAGACAACCCCCCCCTTCGACCCCCCTTCCCGCGTGCCAGCGCTCTTCTACCCAGCTAAGAGCAACAGTCAGCCCCAAGGAAGCCAAGCCTCCCAGCCGCGCCCGCTCCGAAGTTGGCACTGAAGTTTGTGCAAGGTTGTCCAGAATCTTGAGGAGGAAGGGACGTGAGGTGGGACGGACAGTGGAAGGAAGTTGAGTTTTCCGAGGCACAAGGTCGGCTACGTTGGAACCCTTTTTTGCTCAAGAGGTCGGGCTAGTGCGCACCGGGAAAGTCTCTCTGGCGCCGTAGCTGGGGCTTGGGAGCTGTCACCTGAGGGCAGCCCAGGAGGGAGCAGGAAACGTCCTCCTTGGCGCCAGGGGAGGACCCCAGGTTTCCGACTCAGTGGATCTTGGGGCTCAAAGCAGTGGGGGGAGGGGAGATGGACGAGGGGACAACAGGCAAAAGCAACACCTTTCAAACCGGCTTTCTGCTACGCCCTCTCCAAGTTCGTGCTGGGAGGATCAGTTCTTTCCCAAACCACTCTACTCCATCCCAGATCGAGTCCTCAGCTCACACCAGTCTCCCGCCAGAGGTGGGTGGGGTGAGGCGTGGAAACCAAGGGCTGAGGGTTGAAACCCTAAATCCTGCCCTAGTCCCTCGCCGAGACAACCGAATGCATTTACACAAGCCAGAGCCAGTAACAGCTCGCGGCTGACACACGGCGCAGCTACCGACTCTTCTGTTATTCCTAATAAAGTCGATTGCGTTGCCCTCCCAGAGCTGATTGGGAGGGAACCTGGAGGGAAGAGGGGCGGCGGCGAGGGGAAAGAGCAGGGGGAGCAATCAACTTTGCGACCCAGCACTTCCTCGCGATCCGTCGCCATGCTTAAGATCCACCCCCACCCCCTCCTGCCTTTCAAGTGGATACTGAAACTAGGCCAAAACTTTTCCCCTCCTTTTCTCTTTGCCACTAGACTGGATTGTGCCCCATGGAGCCCCATGGAGCTCTGCTTTCTTAAGCACAATAGCCGGACTAATTAGATCATAGAGGCAAGGCAGCGATACTGTAACAAGTAGCCCAAGAGGCAAAAGAGGGAAGGGCCGAAGAGAGGGAAAGGGGAAAGTTTGCAGCTCTCTCACTTACCGATCAAGCCTCCCACCAGAAAGGCAACGATTTGAAAAACCAGCAGAATCCCTCCAACAATGCAGAGCTTCTTGGTGCTCATGTTTTCTATAATTGCCCCAGCCATTTTTGCGCCCCCCCCCTTCTTTTCTCCTTTAAATAAATGTTTTAGGTTATGCTTTCGCTTCCCCTCTCCTTCTTCCTTGTCCTCTTTTCCTGGTGCTGCAAAACTTCAAGGGTGCGATATCACACCGGAGACGGAACCCAGACCGCAGACGCCCGCGCGGATCCCTGGGCGAAGCCGCTCGGGCTCCCCAGATGCCCAGAGCTGAGACTGCGGCCGCTCGGCAGCCAGTGGACGCTTAAAGGAGCAGGGAAGCGGATCACATGACACGCCTCCCTCTCTTTCTTCCTCCCTCCCTCTCGCGTTTCCTCCCTCCCTCCCTCTCTTCCTCAACCGTGGCCCGCCAGTTCAGGGATCTGAGCTCCCGCCAGCTCTGGCTACCCGCTTTCAGGTTTGGCCTGCAGCTTGCCCGGGCAACAGCTGGTATCTTGAAGGGGGTGGCTGGTGTCGTTAAATGGGCTCGGCATAAACAGCCTCTCACATGTTTCCTTTTCTGGTTCCCAAAGTATGGGATTTAAGTCACTAATGGGCCGCTTTGCAAACCCTTAACTTACACATTGAACCCACTCCACCACCAAGCACTAGAAGTTTAGGAAAGAGGTGAATTTTTAAAAGTAATCTAATAAAGTGTAAGTAAAGAATAATAAAGAAAGGAAATAAGATCTCGGTTCAGGTTCCTTCTGCCTGGCCCTAGCCTGGGTTATTACCTGACTAAATCTACCACTAAACTGCTTTTCAAGGAACTTGACTGTCCAGCCAAACAGACCTCTCTTCCTCACTACACCCCGGACATCCAATCTTGGTCTTAACTATTACCATAATGATTTAAAGTTAATTCAAAGCCCAATTTGTTTTTAAAAACTCTTTGCTTGTTTTTTACACCACTTTTATATTTTTTCTAAGAGTTGATTCCCTTCAATTCATCTGTTACACTTTCACCTATTATAAGGTCTTATGTATGAACATTTGTTTCCATTACTAAGTCCTGGAAGACTGAGACCAAATTCAATTCTCTTTGTATACCCCCAACATAGTGCCTAACAAAATTCTCACACTAGGAGTTCCTGAATAAACTTTTGTGAAATAAATACATAAGGAATGTTTAAGCAAGCCCACAGTTTGCATCTCAAAAGCCTTAAGGATCTTAGTTGGGTTAGATAGCACACAAGGTAAGCACTACCAGTCAGATTTTCAGGTGGGTGGTCACAGCTAAAGAGGCTGAGTCAGGAGAATTAGGAGTTTAAGACCAACCTGGATAACTTTGGGAGACCCTGCCTCAAAATAAGAAATAAGAAGTGATCTGGCGATGTAGTTCTGTGGGAGAGTTCTTGTTTAGCATATGGTATGATGCACTAGATTCAAACCCCGTTACAGAGAAGGAGAAAAGAGAATGCTAACTCTTTGAGATATATGTTTATATGTATAAACTACTTCCAATGAAAAGTGGTGGACAGTGATTTTAAAAGATTTCTTGGTCAGTTTGTCCTAGACTCCAGGGCTTTGTTTTTCTAAGTTTCATAAACTGCCTATTTAGCCAATACAACTCACATCACACCTTAGTTTTATAAAGGTGCCTCCTTGTATTCCCAACACAAGTTTTACAAAGCCACCAGTACACCTGATTGATTTCTTGCTTCTTGTCCTCTTCCTGTGGAGGAACCATTTTAAGTACTGCCCTCCTCTGCACCTGCATAGATAACACCATGTAAGATATACTATATACACAGGGTTATTCTTAGTCTCCAATTAGACAAAATACTCTTAAAGACAGGTACCAGGTTGCATCTATGTAAGACTTCATCTCCTCGGCCTCCAGCAGACCCTAAAAGTTGCAAGACTATAGGTGTTTTTTATTTATTGTTTCTTCCTTCAATTCTTTGTCCAACAGTCACTTACTGCCTTAACGTGTTTCCCTCTTTCCTTCCTGAGCACTAGAGCAAGAGTATTCTGAAGGAACTACAGGATACTAGTTATTCACTATATAATGATAACCTGCATTGTAGTTGACACCTGGAACTCTCAGAAGGGAATACACAGCAGAACTGCTATGGATAGCAGTGCTCAGAAGTGTTTGGGTAAACCTTAAACAGAGACTGGCCAGTCACTGTAGATCATTTTCTTTTCTTTACATTTTCAGAAGACTATACATATATGTGTGATAGAGAAAAAGGAAGGAAGAAAAAGGAGGAAAGGGAGAATTAAATTGAGAATTGCAACCTAAGTAAATGCATACCTGTAATCTTATATTATGTTCCCACTTAATGCCTCTGACCCAGAGAGCAATGTATATATATTTTTGCTGAAAGTAGCAAAAATAGAGATTGAAAACAATATTATAAAATGAACATCCATCATAAATGTTGCATACAACATTTGGATATTGATTGTCCAAAAAAAATGATGATGTTTGTGTGTGTGTGTGTGTGTGTGTGTGTGTGAGAGAGAGAGAGAGAGAGAGAGAGAGAGAGAGAGAGAGAGATCCTCTTTCCGTAGGGGTCCCGCTGGATGCTGGACAATGAAAGTGTTAAAACTGGTCTCCATTCCTATTGGCTCATGGCCTTTTTAAAATCACTTTTCTCTATAGCTGTCCCTGCTTCATCAAACCTCAGCATAAAATCAGATAGAGTCTTAGTTACTTTTCTATTCCTGTAATAAAGTCATTATCAAGACAATTTATTGAACAAAGAGTTGAAATAGGCTTACAGGTTCATTGAGTTAGAGTCCATAATTGTACAGCACAGGCATGACACCAGGAACAGTTAATCCCCAAGTAGGAGGCAGCGGGAACGCAAACTGGGAATACCTAAGCCTTTTTGAAACTTCAGATCCTACACCTAGTGACAAACCTTCTCCAGCAAGGCCACATCTACTCTTTTCAAAAATTAAAAACAGTAGGGGGGAGGGAGACACTCCAATTGAGGACCAAGTATTTGGACATATAACCCTATAGGGACATTCTCATTCAAACCATCTCAGAGTGGGGCATTCTCATTCAACCACCATAGGTACCTTCCCTTGTGCTTTGTTGACCATGACTAGGAAGGCTCCTTTGCATGTAATAGAAAGCTTTGAGTATACTTTTCTCATAAAGTGGGTTTTGTGATAGGAATATCTATACAAGATGCTTTAAAATTTTCAATTTCTGTTGTCTTTGCAAATATTAATAGTGACTATCAGATCATCATTTCCCAGTGTGATAACATGAATATGTAGAAAAAAAGTTCCCTGCCTCTAGATCCCTGACTAATACATTATAGTTAGTAATCAGCTCCAAGGCTCAATGTTCTAACCTATAAAAGAAAAATAATAGCCAGGCAGTGGTGATGCACTCCTTTAATCCCAGCCCTCGGGAGTCAGAGGCAGAGGCAGACGGATCTCTGCGAGTTCGAGGCCAGCCTGATCTACAAGAGTTAGTTCCGGGACAGGCTCCAAAGCAACACAGAGAAACCCTGTCTCAAAAAAAGAAAAGAAAAAACCCAAAGAGATAGAGAAAATAATACCAACATTTTGGTATATTCTTACACAGTATAGATACTTACTATTTTTAATTATATTAAGAAAACATTAATTGAATTGATAATCTTTGTCAGAAAAATAAAACTAGGAAATAGGGGTGTAGCTCAATTGCTAAAGTGTTTGCTGAGCAGGTATAGAATCCTGATGGGTTTTGGTTTGTTTGTTTTGGTTCTTGGTTTTTTGAGACAGGGTTTTTCTGTATAACAGCCCTAGCTGTCCTGGAACTCACACTATAGACCAGGCTGGCCTCAAACTCACAGAGATCCATCTGCCTCTGCTCCCAAGTGCTGGGATTAAAAGCGAGTACCACCATACCTGGCAGCAACCTAGTTTTAATCCCAGCAATGGGTAAACTGGGTATAGTGGCAAACATCTGTTAATTCCAGCATTTGAGAGGTAGATAATCAGAAGGCTCAGAAGTCTAAGGTAATCTTTACTAACAAGGCCATATATCGAATTAGAGGGCAGCTTAAGATATATGAACTCTTGTTTTAAAAAAGGAAAGAAACTAGTAAGGCTGGTCAGTGATTAGTTGTTTTTCAGATGTAACATTTGATCATGTTATGAATACTTTTTTTTAACAAGTCAGTCTCTTAGTATGCTGTATACTCTTGACCTTTCTTGTTTCTGGACTCCTTGATGCTACTATTACAAGTTAAGTGTCACCACAACTAGCCTTCAAATATTTTTGAAGCATAATTTTAAGGATGAATAAGGATTATTTTCATTTGACAATGGTACCAATAAAGAAAAATGTTTAATAAAAATATGAAAACCATGTAGTGAAAGTTAACATTGAAACACTCTATTCTAAAAATTGTTCCCTGAGACAGAGAGATGGCTCAGTGGGTGGGAGAAAACACAGAGGACCTGAATTTGAACCCTAGCATTTATAAACTCGGACAAGACTGTACATGCCTGTAACTTTTGCACTGCAGAAGACAGAGATGAGAGGATTGTTGGAGTTTGCTAGCTACCAGCCTAGCTCCAAGTCCAGTGAGAGACCCTATCTCAAGAGAATGAAGTGAAGACTGATAGGGCAAGACATGTATGTCTTCCTCTGGCCTCTGCAAATAGGTATGTGGTCTATACCCCCTACATCCCCACATCCCCACACATGTACACACTCAATTGCCTCCAACCACCACAGAAATATTTATTTTGGGTTATCAGAGAGATAATTTCAGAGACAAGAAAAAGGACTGGAGAGGTGGCTAAGCAGTTAAAAACATTTGCTGTTTTCTCTCTCTCTGTGTGTGTGTGTTTCCATTTCACATACTAACCTTACAAAGGAATTCTTCAAATCAAAACACTTCAACCTCATCCTCATACGAAATAGTTTAATATGCACCCCAAGCTTCTGCCATGTTAGAACTCATTCCCACCATACGATTTCCATTTCACTTTTCCATTCATATTCCATATACATTTCAGACATTAGCCTTATTTAATCCTAGCTTATATCTTACTGTTATATAAACAAGGAATGTGACTTACCTTTTAAATTTTAACTTTTTTCAATTCTTTAAAAAATATTAGTAATGACAAATATGTCACGATGAACATTAAAGAAAATAATGTAATTGTGCCAAACACAGAGTAGGCATTCAACAAATGTTGCAATTATAAGGGAGGCAGTTTCTGTTCCCAGAGAGCAGAACAAAACAAAACAAACCATAAATCCCCTAATTATAGTCTCTCTTATTAAATTACCTCTTTGAA